AGAGAGAGAGAGAGAGAGAGAGAGAGAGAGGTCATGCATAATTTCGTGAATGACGATGACGTTGAACTGCAACCGAAATAGATTGTTTTGCTCTATTGTTTATTCTGTTTTCTTACGAGCCTGGGTGGTTGGAGGGCACTAAGTAGCATGTCTTACTTCCAACCCCCTCCCCCCACGCCCACACCTACACTCCCTGTTGTAATTGTGGCTGTCTTTCTAGCCTTTTCCACTCCGAATAAGCTGTAATACCTAGGAAACATTCTGAAGTTTCATGTTACGCAAGCAAAGGGTGTATTTGTTTTATGCCAACTGGAACAAGTTAAGAATAACCATACACAAGTACAATGTAATAAAATGATTATTTGAACATTTTAAGTGATGCATATTTGAACAGCCATGAGTGCTGACGACGGATTGCAATTTGGCCACGAGAAATGTCAACATCAGAACTGGTGCGGGTTTCCTACAGGAAGGGAGAGTGGACAGAATTGAATACCGTCGCTTTTCAATGAAAGGACAAGCTGGCTAACCCAGATTTCTGGGGTTTCCAGAAATCTTTACCTATGCTACAGAAGTTTTGTTTTTTCAGTAGAGGTTTTACGGCGCTCGCAGGTGCATAAGGCTGTCTGTCCCCGTCGGATTATGGGATTGTTCTGTCGCGTTTTTTCGCATAAAACATTTGCATAATTTTGGATTCCCCGTTTTCACGATTTTTTGCATTTTTCACAAAACAAGTTCACCAAACACCTCGCCGTGTGACGAAAGGGAAGTAATATAATCAGTAATAAGACATTTAATTGGCAAGTTGATCATTTCGCTTGTTAGAAGATCGTAGGAGTTAGGGGTTTTAGGGTTAGGGTTTTTTTCCCCTTGAGCCTGTTCAATTTTTCAATCAATCAAAAGTAGTTCTCATGTCTGCAGATGTTTCCTGTTTGGTACCCATGATTTTAGTGACGTGGCAGCATCAGAGGTCCAGATGTCTTTTAAAAACATTTATCTTTCCACTATAGAGGGAGAAACGAAAAAGAAACATGTTAAATAAGAACAGAAAATGCCAAAACAAGATGCAGCCAAACGCACAAACTAATTACACCCAGAATGAATGACGGCAGCTACTAGTGACCGTAGCCATTGGTGGCTCATTCACCACCTATGTTCACCACTGACCTCTGAGCCAGAGATTACACCTTGAGGTGTCCAGGTTGTGCGTCCAAAGTTGTCTCAGTCAGTCAGCCTTGTGGTTAGTCTGTCCTGAGAGAAAGTTGCAGTTGAAAATAGCAATAGTTGCAAAAAGTTGCCAGAAAAGTTGCAAGTCGTGTACAGAGCTAACAATGTCTTGGAATAGTGGAATACATTGCTGGTATGCTCAATGCTATCAAAGTAACCAACGTGAGTTTTGTTAGATCAAAATCAGAAGTTAAATGTGAATCTCTACCGAAGTAAAAAAAAACACAACTGCTTGGAGGTTGTATGGTGTACCTAAACAGTTTCAAATATTATAATCTTACACCTTTTGGGGGATTTTTGCACCCCCCCCCCTTT